CAGTCTCGTTTAAAGTCATCATTTCGTAAATTCTATGGTCGATACAATGACCTTGTCAGCAAATACAATTTATCATTGAATGAAATGCTGACTGACGTTTTTCATACCAATTGTTAGTCCATTATTTATACACTGAATTGACTACGGATTTTTTCCGTTATTTCCTGATTATGACAATGAGCACACGGCGGGTGTGACCGGTCAGCAGGGGATGCTCACTCCTCCATGGCACCTGATCCCAACTCTGATGTTTCGGAGGTCCGTGTTTGCTCTGCTCTTGTTTTGTATATTTGTTTAATGGACGTTGAGATTGAATGCTGTTCGTTATTTCCATATCCTTATTAGTATAGCAGAATGGCCAACGGGGAAAAAGTGGAGAGTAACGACACTCAGATGATTCCTGAGTCGGGGTATACTTACATAAAAATTAAGAAAGACAAATGGTCTTACTTTCGTGAACAGGTACTGCTTGCGAGCATCAGATGACCTGGTAACTTTATTACAAAGCACCATGCCCCAGGTTCCTACTGGTGGCGAATATTAGGAGTGTAACGTGTCGGACCTGAGCGGTCAGTAGGTCCGTGCTCGGATTACCAAGTTTTACTGGGGGTACGATTAATGCAAAATGCAAAATATACAGAATATGTGGCACTTGCCTAGTGTCTTTAAATCAAGTGACCTATCTGCCTTATTTTTATATATGTACAATAATACTGGCACCTGCCTGGTGCCTTGTGACAGTTACCTGAATGAACAACTACTAAACAAGTCAACAGACACCTGCCTGGTGTCTCCTGACTATAGCCCTTATCTGATGACACCTACCTGGTGTCAATTGCTAACCAAGTTGTCTATGTTCCAGCCAAGTGGCTTTAACAAACTTACACAATGCCAAACTAAACTGGTAACAATGTATTCTATCCGCTAAGCAATAATCAAGTCAGAGACTTCAGCGACTTTTCAGCAATTACTTTTCGTCAAATTGCACACGCTAATTAGTAAACCTTCCAAATCGTATACGCCAAGTTGCGTACTAAACAATAGACAACGGACAGTAGGCTGTACAACCCTTTGTATTACAACTTGATCAATAATCATTAATTTTCAGATATCATATTAGGAAATTACAACAAACTGCCTTTCTTTTGGCAATGCAACTATTATTTTCTAACCCAACATCATTTAACAACATGTCTTTATATGTCTTATGTCAACTGACCAATTAATAACATTACTCCCTCAACCATTTCACTTCCCTCCCCTTAAGAACATGCGTCCCGCATGACCTTTACAACATGGCAAAAAAAATTATGGACAGAATAACTTACAGCGTATTTTTTCTTTCTCAAATTCTTCATCACCAACTTATATGGATAAAACATGAGATATGAAACATTCTCCAAAATTGGAGCATTTCTTATTTTTATACACTGAAATGATCCAAAAAGGCAATGCAGATTTCAGAGTATAGTGGACCCTCATATATCTGATTGCTTCAGTATCCAGACAATTTTACATCAGAACGGAATTATTTTTGTTATTTTATCTTGTTTAAATGGTAATTCAGATATCCAGACGCTTCACATATTCGGACAAATTAACTAGGAACGACAGCGTGTGGAGAAATGAGGCTCCACTGAATTTAAAACAGCACAGATAATGCTATAAGATGAATTCATTATTGAAGCAGAAATCTTAACATACATGTTTATTCATATTTACAGAAAATCCAAACATTGGAGGTAACATTAACAGGAACTGTGGAGGCCCTTAGTTTGGCAGAGACATGCTGGGAAGTTTGTGCACAAGAATATTCTAAACAAGGCTACAGAGACATAACAATCGAGAAACACATGTTCTAAGAATGCTTTTGGTGAGGAAATTCGTCACATGGCAGAGGTGGACATGGAGAATTTTCTGATTGAAAAAATCCCATTCAAGATCGAAGCAGTCATGCTGGGATCCCGACTATTGAGTGTTGATATTGCCTTACCACAGAACATCCTTCCTTGTGAGCAGGACCCACTCCCTATTGAGGACATGGAATTAATTTTGTAAAGTCTGCACAACAAGAAATACAAAAAATACCAATATTGGTCAGTTTTGCACAAATTCCATTGAAATTGACTGCTCTAATTGTGTGTTGGTTTTAGAGCCATGCTGTATGTAAATATTAAAAGTAAAGTAGTATGTAGAATTTTGTGGCAGGATATGTCATTTCACTTTGGATAACAGTATTTTTAATTTTTACCTAGCAGTTAAAAGGTTATTTCCAGGCCTAGGACTGTTATTGTAATGCAAGAATTGACATGAATGCCATCATAAGCCTGTTGTGCACAAATTCCATATATAACAAATTACTTGTCAAAAAGTCATTTAATATGGAGCTAACTCATATGTTTATTTTTTTCCTTTGACCATTTTCCACTGTTAAAGTGACATTCAGTCTGTAGGTTACAAATACTCATTAAAAAAAAATTGTCAGCAATATTTGTTATATTTTTCAGTATTTATGCATAACAAAAATGTTTTTTATTTGCATTTCCATTTATGAAGAGCTTAAATGTGTAGCTCATAGTCAATTGCATATGCAGAAGCAATTCTCCATCCTTAAAATATTCTCTGTGCATTAATATTATTTTTCTTTATATACTGCTATTTAGTGCTCTCATTTCAAACTGTATTTCACATCTTCATGATTTGAAATAATTCCTCGTACGTGATTTAATCCTTGTTATGTTTCCTTTTTTAAACAAAGAAATGATTGGAAATTTTGCCGCTTTTACTCACACATTGGCAAAAACATTCCTTTATTTTCGTACTTGATACTTCTTTACCTTATCTCACATTTATGTATTTTTTACTTACTTTTTCTGTGAATATTGATCTACCTTTCACAATGCATTTTTTTAATTGCTAACTTTACCTTCAGTTCATTTGTCATTAATTTTTTAGGTGTACATCATTTTGAACTTTTTAACTTGTTACATATACAGTTGAAAGAGATGAACCATTGAAATCAGCAAATAAACATAAATTATAAATTCTTGTTGTTTGTTATTCAGTGCAATCATATCTAATAATAAATGTATTTTATTTATCCCATACAAACTGCAGAACACTGTTCCTGTTTGACCGAACAACTTTCAATAGTTTTTTGCTGTATACAGAGTTACTTTTAACCGTTTTTAGCTCACCTCTGATCACATTCCGTCCGGCGTCTGTCTGTCTGTAAACTTTTCAGATTTCCGACTTCTTCTCAAGAATCGCTGGGCCAATTTCAACCAAACTTGCCACAAAGTATCCTTGGGTGTAGAGGATTCAAATTTGTTCAAATGAAGGGCCACGCCCTCATACAAGGGGAGATAATTAGGAATTAATAAAAATTTCGTGGCATATTTTAAAAATCTTCTTCTCAAGAACCACTATGCCAGGAAAGATGACACTTATGGGGAAACATCCTCAGGTACATGTAGTGTGGATTCAAGTTTGTTCAAATCATGATCCCCGGCGAGGCCAAAATGGCCGACCAAAGTTTTACATAGAAATAAATAGGAAAATTCTTTAAAAATCTTCTTCTCAAGAATGACAAATCCATAATTCATCATATTAATATGGAAACATGCTCACGTTATGTAGATTCAAGTTTGTTCAAATCATTACCCCGGGGGTAGGGCGGGGCCAAAATGGCCGTCCAAAGTTTAACATAGAAATATATAGGAAAATTCTTTAAAAATCTTCTTCTCAAGAATGACAGAGCCATAATTCTTCATATTTATATGGAAGCATGCTAACGTAATGTAGATTCAAGTTTGTTCAAATCAGCATGACCCCAGGGGGTATGGCGGGGCCAAAATGGCCGACCAAAGTTTTACATAGAAATGGATAGGAATATTCTTTAAAAATTTTCTTCTAAAGAATGAAAAATCCATAATTCATCATATTCATATGGAAGAATGTTCAGGTAGTGTAGATTCCAGTTTCTTCAAATCATGACCCCCGGGGGTAGGGAGGGGCCAAAATGGCCGACCACAGTTTTACAAAGAAATATATAGGAAAATTCTTTAAAAATTTTCTTCTCAAGAATGACAAATCCATAATTCATCATTTTCATATGGAAGCATGCTCAGGTAGTGTAGATTCAAGTTTGTTCAAGTCATGACCCCCGGGGGTATGGCGGGGCCAAAATGGACGACCAAAGTTTAACATTGAAACATTGATATAACTGCCGCATTAAGTTTATTGGTATACCTATTTATTTAGTTTCCCTGCACAATGATATCAAGGGGCATCGGAATCCACAATGCTCCTTGACTGGGACATAGAAAGTGATATACAGGTAGATTTCCTCAATACACATATTGAACAGATAAATCAAGGCCTCTTAAGTTCAATGCTGATTTGCGGGACTGCAGACGGGGCAAAGAGAGATACTTCTTTGAGTTGCTATCAGACGGTTTGCACCCAGGCCATCTATTGTCCCAGAAGTGGTTACGGCGACTCGAGCTTGACATTATCAGGGAGTGTTACACCCCATGTGATGACCTTGAGGTAGATGAACAAGAGTTCCTCTCATTCCAACATGGCGAACAAGACCGAAAACACTGATTAAGAAATAATAAAGAATACTGACTTTAGGCAAAGTGACAGTGGAGTAGTGACTGACAATAAGGAAGACAGTGTTTGGTTGCACAACACATTTGAGTCTTTCAGTTTTTCTTTTGACACACATCTGCAACATTATCCAGAATTATTTGCACAGACTCTGCAAGAAATAAAACCATGTTTCAGAAATTTCTTGAGGAATCGAAGGAGGACATAATTCATTCTCTGAGAATACCACCATTTGCTTCAACCCCGAGGCCACACGCGGCTTCGGGATTGATGCATACTGGACAGTATCCGCCAGTTACTTCACAGATTTCGGATGTTGCACCAACCCCAAAGTCACAAGATCATGCAACTTCTTGGTGGACACCGTCCACCCTCATTTGCTGGTTATGCACCCGACTTTCCCTCAGATCGAAGGGGAACAGACCGACCAATCGATGAAACCTTGCGTGTCATTGAAGCAAGGGAAGGACAACGACCCTCTCCTTATTAACCTAGCTCCCGAGGTGGATCTAGATCATCAGAGATCTAGGCTATTGATACGGTCTACTGAGTACTACAAGATAGGTAAGAGACTAGTACCCTAGGCTATTGATACGGTTAATTGATACTACAAGATAAGCAAGAGAAGAGTACCCTAGGCTATTGATGGATATGGAAATAACGAACAGTATTCAATCTCAACGTCCATTAAACAAATATACAAAATAAGAGCAGAGCAAACACGGACCTCCGAAACATCAGAGGTGGGATCAGGTACCATGGATGAGAGAGCATCTACTGCCGACCGGTCACATCTGCCTTGTGCTCGTTGTCATAATCAGGAAATAACAAAAAAAAAATCCGTGGTCATTTCAGTGTATAAATAATGGACTAACAATTGGTATGAAAAACGTCAGTCAGCATTTCATTCAATGATAAATTGTATTTGCTGACAAGGTCATTGTATCGACCATATATAGAATTTACGAAATGATGACTTTAAACGAAACTGTTGATATTCTTGTTTCATCAATTTGCTTGTCAATAATTTACCTCGTTTAAGAAATTGTTCATACGTAGAGCATGCTCTTGAGTATCGAATCAACTGAGATATAAATACTCCGTATGCAGGTAAGATCTACCGAGTAATACAGGACAGGTAAGAGACTAGTAACCTAGCCTATTGATACGGTTTACTAAGCACTACAAGATAGGTAAGAGACTAGTGCCCTAGGCTATTTATATGGTAAGGATTACTCTAGAAGAAGTATGAGACCAGTATAGGGTATTATCGTAACTGTGTAACCTGGCATCCAAGTAAAAAGGCAATATTTCTTCTTTTTTGTGATTATGAACTCTTAATTGTGGTTCCATGTTTAATGCTTTTTTATTTAATACAAATCTTTAAAAGGATTCTTTGGAAGGATTGTCAGGTGACTGAGGGTCAGTCGGTTGATTTTGCTGGAACACCTTACATTAACATAGGGTGGATGGTTAAGGAGTGTCATCAAGGGCCTGATCGACAAAGAAAAGCAAAGGGAAGGAGGAAACGCAGAAAAGTTTGAAAAAAAGAATATTCTTATTATATTAAGAAATTATACATTTTATGCTCGCTATTAAAAATAAAAAAAACATTTTTTAAGGACAAATCTCTTAATTTGTGTCTCATTAAAATATCCAATTACAAGTTAATTTAGTTCAAAAATTTTTATACCATATATATATATAGCAGTATTTATCAACATTGCATGTTGACAGTTTATTGTATTATTTTCACGTTTTAGTAAGCAGATACTACAAGTAATAATATTGTTTTAGCTGTTTTATGTATTTAATCGCATTTTAGAAATCTGGAGATCACAATTACGAAAATCAAAGGAAGGCAAGAAAATGGATACAGATGTAAAAAAAAACCAGACTTGTCCGCCATCTATTAGGATAAGAGTGATATTGAAGTTTCCAGACTTTAGGGTTTATCTTTTTTTCTCACTTTCTTTTCTTGTCAGGAAAATGTGTTGGCATTCAACTGCTAATATTTCGGCAGTTCATATAGAAATCAAAAAGAAAAGAACTTGTATTGGTAAAGAAGTTAATTAGAGTCAATACCAATTACTTAAAGTAATTATCCCGCTTTTGTGATGAGGATATAAATAGTATATAAAAACAATACAACAATAACAAGAGGCCCAGGGGCCACAGCACTCACCTGAGCACATTGGCTAGGAAAAAGCACATATCAGATCAGAAATGAAAGTTTACTGGGGGGGGGGGGGGGGCTTGAATTTTAACCCCCAAGGGGTTCGTGATTTGAACAAACTTGAATCTACACTACCTAAAGATGATTCCACATAAATATCACCAATCGTAGCTTTGAAGTACTTGAAAAGATGATTTTAAAAGGTTTCCCTATAAATTCCTATATAAACTTTGGTCGGCCATTTTGGCCCCACCCTGGCCCCGGGGGTCATGATTTGAACAAACTTGAATCTACACTACCTGAGGATGATTCCACATGAGTTTCATCTTTCCTGGCCCAGTGGTTCTTGAGAAGAAGATTTTTAAAGATTTTTCCTATATATTCCTATGTAAAACTTGGGTCGGGCATTTTGGCCCCACCCTAGCCCCGGGGGTCATGATTTGAACAAACTTGAATCTACACTATCTGTGGATGATTCCACATGAGTTTCATCTTTCCTGGCCCAGTGGTTCTTGAGAAGAAGATTTTTAAAGATTTTTCCTATATATTCCTATGTAAAACTTGAGTCGGCCATGTTGGCCCCATCCTACCCCGGGGGGTCATGATTTGAACAAACTTGAATCTGCACTACCTGAGGATGATTCCAAATGAGTTTCATCTTTCCTGGCCCAGTGGTTCTTGAGAAGAAGATTTTTCCTATATATTCCTATGTAAAACTTAAGTCGGCCATTTTGGCCCAACCCTAGCCCCGGGGGTCATGATTTGAACAAACTTGAATCTACACTACCTGAGGATGATTTCATGTGACTTTCATCTTTCCTGGCCCAGTGGTTCTTGAGAAGATTTTTTAAAAAATACCATTAATTTTCTCTTATTCATAATTATCTCCCCTTAAAAAAGATGTTAATAATTTAAATTGCATCTACAGTGGACCTTCACATATCCGGATGCTTCAGTTTCAGGACGATTTTTTTTATCGGAACGAAATTTTTAAATGTTTTTTGTCTGATTTAAGTGGTGATTCAGTAATCCATTTTAGAGCACAAAAAGTCGTATCAAAGAGATCTGTCCGTTAAACAAACTGAAGGATACTTTCCACACTCTCATAGAAGATGAAGGGGCTGAACGAAATTAAATGTGGGTCACAGTTAGCTCGAGGTAGACAGCAGATCATAATTTAAGCCCATCGACACCAGATCCTTTCATTGAATGCTTGGATTAAGCCAACAGACAAAAGAAACCCGATGGCAGATTTTAAGAGAGGTGAGAGCATAACCTGAATTTACTATGTTTACGTCAACTGATCTACAGTTTTTTAAAAAAAAAAACTTTGTACCATTTATGATAAGACCAATGCTTTTACACCAAAGGAAAACATTTGATATCTACTTCAAGGTACATGTATCTTCATCTATTTTACAAATGTCACAGGTGGTGAAAAATCAAGTTTCAACCGGGGCTGGAACCCAGAACCTCTGGTGTACTGTGCCTGCGCTCTAACCACTGAGCTATCGAGACCCGAGTTATTGACTGACTTTCACGCACCTGTGAACCCGGTGACATATTCCCCCTCTTTGTAGAAATTCGTCCTCGAATTCTATATGTGAAGTAAGGAAATGCGTGAAGCATATTCCAAGGAAACAGTGGGTTATTTTCGTTGAGCGCCAAATGTAACAGGTGGTGAAAAATCAAGTCTCAACCGGGACTCGAACCCAGGGCCTCTGGCGTACCGTGCCAGCGCTCTAACCACTGAGCTATTGAGACCCGATATATTGACTGCATTTCACGCACCTGTGAACCTGGTGACACAAGAATTTCTAAAGCCTAAAAAATGTTCCAAGTTTTTGTAACGGACAATGATGTAAATTTGTCAAATGCAGTTGAGGTCTGTTTTCCATCTAGCACACAACTGCTTTGAGATATCCATATGATTGACAATATGACCAATATTTGACCCATTTATAGTTTACACATGTTAAGTTTGTAAAGCTTTTGAGTTTTGGTTCTTCGTGTCCAGTAACATACTCTTAATTGAAAAGATTTGATCAATAAATTGGGCACACAACTACAATTTAATAGTTTGCATTTGCCTTTCAGATCATCAGCTGAAATCATGCAATTTCAGAGGGGGGGGGGGTTCTTGGACTGTGGCAAGAAATAAAAAAGAACCTAATTACATGGATGCCTATGTTTTGCCAAGAACCATTTTCCAGACAGAAGTTCTCCGAATTCAGTTAGTTTATCCGTAGTCCAGAAAGCAGCAACCGACGACACTTTTTATTCCGGGGAAATTCTAATGCAGGATATTCACAGTGAGTTTCAAATGCACATTGCTTTTATTTAGAGTTACAGTGGCTGCAACGTAATTGTTGACAAACTAATCGTGTAGAATCGTTCGTGTATCGCGCGTGATCATTCGTGTAACGTGCGAGATGAGGGTTGGTAAAATGAGTAAGCAAACCCGGGCCGGGGAAAATAAAAAGCCGTGGTAAATCGAGATTTTTAAAATATCTCCGCTTACAGTGGACCCTCAGTTATCCGAACGCTTTGGTTCCCAGTCAATTTGTCCGGATATCTGAATCACCAGTTAAACATGACAGAATAACATTTTAAAATTTTGTACCGATGAAAAATCGTCCGGATTCTGAAGTATCCGGATATCTGAAGGTCTACTGTAATCAACCAATTAATCTGAAATTTTCACAATATGTTCCTTTAAGGTTCTGTTGTATTCGCCGTTAGTATCACCAATGATTGTTTAGCCGTGTTACCAACAGGCTATGGCAAGAGTTTACCATATCAGATGGTCATTTACAAACAGAGAGCGACTGGAAAAAAGACTCAGAAAATTATCGTATGTTGTCCCATGATTATCCTTATGAAAAACCAAATAGAAAGGCTTTCCAAAATACCAAACATTCGCGCGATATATAGAGGTTATATAACATCTCTTAAATACATATGAATATTAAGTATTTAGAGAAGTTAATATATAACAGCAAGTTTTGTGGAATCCGGGATATTGCGCCGATTCTGTATTGCACTGAGAAGGTTCACGTAAGGATTATTAGGTGCGAAACATCTCACGATCTTTTTTAAAATTCAAAGACATTTTTGACTGAACACTTACAGAAGTGTTAAGTGTTAAGTAAGGCTTAACACTTCTGTAATGAGAAAAAAATACTAAAAAAAATCGAGAAAATTTAGTTAAGAGCGCTGTGCTTTATTAATAACGATTATGAAAGCTCATATGCACAATTATTGGAAAGATTCCAATTGTCCTCCCTAGAAACCAGAAGAATGAGATTACTGGTATTAGAAACATTTAAAATCATTAATAAAAAGAGCCAACTTTTTCTTCAACACTGGTCACAGTAAAAAAATCTCA